CACCCTAGTTGGGGGTAACCTAGTCTCATGGAAGAGTAAAAAACAAACAGTTGTGGCAAGATCAAGTGCAGAAGCGGAATATAGGGCCATGGCACATGGAGTTTCAGAACTTCTCTGGATCCATTCTCTGTATAGGTCTCCCTTTGCTGGTTCTCTAATGTTTCCAGTTACATATCCAAGTTTTCCCCTTCCCCCAATGGCCATCATGGCCGATTAGGCCCATTCTAGGTAATTTGTGCCATCAAATTTAACAGTAGTGATCTGAAAAGTATTTTCTGAATTACTCCCAGACCCCATAGATCCTTCTCCAAAGGATTTTGGTTCCTTCCCACCTATTTCCATACTGATCACACCACAAAAACCTCAAAAGAACGCCCTTAACAGATCTGAAACACAACTTTAGCAGTAATCCAATACAAACTTCAAGACTGAATTACTCCCTTAACAGTCCAGAACTGAAAAAGAGCAGAAGAAATAAATGGGTTAGGTCAAAACACACAAAATTGGCCTGTTCTCAGTAGAAACCCTAGAATCGGTCTAGAGAGAAAAGGAAAAGAACCAGCTGCTCCTTCCAGAAGGGTTAAATCTCTTCCTACAAGCAGCTGATCTCAAAAAAGAACAATCTTTAACCCAAAAACCTATGGGCGCCAATGCCAATTGAACTGATCCAAAAACTCTGATTCTTCCTGGTTAATGCTGATCTCCAAGATTGCAGATCTTGGGCAGCAAGAATTCCTCCAATCAACCTCCAAGAATCAGGCAAAACTGACTGAAGAATCCAGCCCTAATGCATCCTCATGTGGCCGGCTGGAAGAAGCCTACATAACAATAGGCCCAGTAAGGCCCTAGCAAGCCCTAATCTTGCTTTGATACCAAGATGGCGTATGCTGATCTCAGTTGACCAGAAACCTGATAAAACTTCAGCAGAAAAACAAAGAAATAACAGAAGAAGAAGAAAGAAGGAGAAGAGAAGAGAAGAGAAGAAGAATGAGAAGAAGAAAAGGCACAGAATAGAATCTTCTGCTGCCCAGAATTTTTATTTATATACTCTTATTAAAACTAAGAACATAAAGGCACCTATGCCCCTGCCGCCCAATTCACTCCTTAGTCAATAATGACAGGAATAACAATAGGCCCAGTAAGGCCCGGAAAACTAATAAACAGAAATAATAATAGGCCAAAATAATAACAATTAAAAAAACAACAACTGATAATGGCAGAGACTTCACTAAAACTAGTCTATTTCTCCACAGATGCATGCTCCCAAAATCTCTCATATGAGAGCAGAAGAACGAATTCTGAGATATCTCAAGTCATGTCCAAGAAAGGGACTACTATTTGTTGAGTGGGCTGATTTATGTTGGGCCGATTTATGTTTAGTTTGTTTTCTTTTAAATTAAGAAGTTGTTGGGCCTTGGGCCCATTAGTATTTTATTTTTAAAGGAATTGTAAGTACTTAGTTGAGTTGCCGCCCTACTAGGGGCATCTTTGTAATATCCCATATTTAAGTTAATTATAAATAGAATGAGAGGCTGGCGGCTAGGGTTATGCATCACTATCCTAGTCAACCTTCTTCTCCTTTTCTTCCCTTTCCTCTGTCTATTGCTGAAATCCCAACTTTCTCCTCTTCCTTTCACAAGAAGCTTGGCTGAAATCAGCACATAAGGCTTTCTACTCTATTCAAGAAACACAACAAAATGGTTATAGAAAGCTTTACAGATGTTGATTAGGCAGGGTTTATTGGGGATAGAAGATTTACAACAAGACATTGTACCTTTGTTGGTGGAAATCGGGTTACTTGGAGAAGCAAGAAGTAGACAATTGTGGCAAGATCCAGTGCAGAGGTAGAGTATAGGGCCATAGCCCTGTTAGACAGTTATGCCCTTAGCTCCAATCAGATTGATGTATCTTTTGACATTTATTGTAAATGAATAAAGTACATAATTGATTCATGTCATTGTGGTGTGTTTCTGTGTACCTTTGTTGGTGGAAAACGGGTTACTTGGAGAAGCAAGAAGTAGACAATTGTGGCAAGATCCAGTGCAGAGGCAGAGTATAGGGCCATAGCCCTGTTAGATAGTTATGCCCTTAGCTCCAATTAGATTGATGTATCTTTTGACATTTATTGTAAATGAATAAAGTACATAATTGATTCATGTCATTGTGGTGTGTTTCTGT